CATGTTTACTGAAGAAAAATGTTTGTCACACATCATTCCCCCATTTACGAGCTTTGTCGCTTTTTGAACGTTGTTCGTCACTTTTACCAAGCAAACTTAAAAAACGGACTTTCCGGAACTTTAGCAATTCATAGCAAACAGATCTTCAGGTTTAATTTGACTGTCAAGTCGTGTTTATTTGCCAATCCTCATACACACTTAGTTTCGTCTGATTTACCTTTTGATCATTGGTTTGTCGAATCGCAATTCCATCAAAAATTTTCCGTCTATATCGTTCACTTCAAATGGAAAAATGTTTTAAACATTATTCAAAGCGTAAGCTTCGCAAACGGACATGCTCTTTGCAACTAGAAGACTTTGCTATCGGCTATACGGCACGATACTGCATCCTCTTATATATGCGAAATGGGTCGGTGCTACGTATTTCAACGGCTGTTCCACTAGACATATAAAACTAGCAAATGTTTAACGACTTTTACGTAATAAATATTCGCATTAAATTTTTCGTGCTTCTCGTGTAGAACTGAAAACACACTTTAATTCTTTTTTTTTTTTTAAATATCACATGCTAGCAGCAGAAAAGTACGAGCATGTAAACGAAAATTTCGTTAAATTTAAATCTATGTTCCCGCGAAATAAAAGAGACCCGTAAAAATATTGTTTTTGATATTTTTTGGATGTGTTAAATTTTCAAAAATAGTACATGCCAGTTGTAGAAAAGTACGAGCACGTTAATGAAAAGGTTGTCTTTTATATCGTGCTTACGCATTAAAGTAAAGGCCCGTAAAACTTTTCGGTTTGTTATATGTTATGCTGTTTTAAATTTCCAAAAATTTCAAGTGCTTCCAGAATATCAACGAAATCATGCGCATCAACACATGCTAGCAGCAGAAAAGTACGAGCATGTAACCGAAAATTTTGTTAAATTTAAATCTATGCTCCCGCGAAATAAAAGAGACCCGTAAAAATATTGTTTTTGATATTTTTGCATGTGTTAAATTTTCAAAAATATTACATGCCAGTTGTAGAAAAGTACGAGCACGTTAATGAAAAGGTTGTCTTTTATATCGTGCTTACGCATTAAAGTAAAGGCTCGTAAAACTCTTCGGTTTGTTACATGTTATGCTGTTTTAAATTTCCAAAAATTTCAAGTGCTTCCAGAACATCAACGAAATCATGCGCATCAACACATGCTAGCAGCAGAAAAGTACGAGCATGTAAACGAAAATTTCGTTAAATTTAAATCTATGCTCCCGGGAAATAAAGAAGACCTGTAAAAATATTGTTTTTGATATTTTTTGCATGTGTTAAATTTTCAAAAATATTACATGCCAGTTGTAGAAAAGTACGAGCCCGTTAATGAAAAGGTTGTCTTTAATATCGTGCTTACGCATTAAAGTAAAAGCTCGTAAAACTCTTCGGTTTGTTATATGTTATGCTGTTTTAAATTTCCAAAAATTTCAAGTGCTTCCAGAACATCAACGAAATCATGCGCATCAACACATGCTAGCAACAGAAAAGTACGAGCATGTAAACGAAAATTTCGTTAAATTTCAATCTATGCTACCGCGAAATAAACGAGACCCGTAAAAATATTGTTTTTGATTTATTTGCATGTGTTAAATTTTCAAAAATATTACATGCCAGTTGTAGAAAAGTACGAGCACGTTAATGAAAAGGTTGTCTTTTATATTGTGCTTACGCATTAAAGTAAAGGCTCGTAAAACTTTTTGGTTTGTTACATGTTATGCTGTTTTAAATTTCCAAAAATTTCAAGTGCTTCGGAAATCATGCGCATCAACATTTACCTGTTCGATTTGTAATGCTGTTCCTTTTCAACGAAGTAACTTGCGGTCGGGACCGGTAACGGGATTATTTAACATCGCGTAACTTTTAACTCCAATTTTTCATCGACTTATTTATGCACAAGTGATTTTTCAATATTTGGTAAGCTAACCATTTTTTAACGGTTAGGGGATTCTTCAATATTTGCTTTGATGTTACTTTAAAATGTTTCCTGTTTTTCCCTATTCCTACTTTACCGTTCAGAAACTCTAGGTTCCTCCTGAAGGGGCCAAATAATTTTAAAATTTTTCATTATTAATTAAACTTTTTAACCAATTTAGTCTCTTTCATGTCTTTGCTTACAAATTTATTTTGTTTGGTATGTATATTAGGTATTTGAATGAATGCGCACCAGTAGGAACATATGAGTTTTCATTTCTGTTCAGATTTAACATCTTTTACAAGTTTGAACCCGTTGCCTGTATTTTATATTTCTTTAAGAATACGGTGCCTCTTGATTACATTATTTCTTATATTGCAAAAGTTAATGCCAGTTCTAAAAAAAAAATGTTTTTAATTCCATTAACGTTTTGAAACACAATTTGACTCCTGCTTCTTTCACCCTAAGTTGTACAAAAACTTTACATTTAATTCAATTAATGTTTGAATACGTAGTTAGATTCTTATTTTTTACAGCCTTAGTTAAACATTAAATTTTTTAATAATTTAAATAAGCAGCATTGACAATCAACGCTGAAAAAAGCTTGTAAATTAAAAATCAATTTTTCTATCAAATCAACCACAATTACTTTATACTTTGAGATGTATCCATTGCATAATACAAATATCTGTTTGTTTCCCAAAAAGCAATAATTTTTTTCATTAAAGCTACTTAAAATGAAGCGTAAAACTCAGACCAACAGCAAAAATGTTATTATGGTGAAACCAAAAAGTAGATTTTTGAAACTTTTGGTTTAATTGTTATTAATTTAATATTGTTGCGGATCGTTGATACCTGTATTATATGTGACTCGCAAGTTTTTACGTCAGAATTTAAAACAAATCCGGAAAGTTATCTTAATTTTGCTTCTTAATTTAATTATAAATTTTTCATAAAATTGCATGTTAAATAGTTACGCATAAACATTTTTTTTACTCGTCAATGTTCAT